ACATTTTATCTCTGGGACCCTAAGGATGACAAATCAGAGCAAGATTACTGAATGTAAGTACATTATTTACCTTCAGAGGTGAATGTATCAAACCAGTTGCCGTGATACATTTTGTTGTTGTTGTGCACTCTCCTCAAACAATAGCATGGTATTTTCTCACTGTAATAGCTACAGTAAATTTGACAGTGCAGTTAGATGAACAAGAATGTAAGCTTTCTGCCCACATAAGACATGTCTATGTCCTGGAAAGTTTGCTGTTACTTACAACAATCATGCTAATCACATTAGCGCACGTTAGCACTACCGTCCCGTATACAGGACACCGATCCCGTAGAGGTTAACTTGTCAGCTGTTTATGTACTTTCTGTAACATTGTAACAAGGATGTGTAAGGCAATGTCCCTTTCCGACTGATAACAATGGGGTTTCTTGTTTTTAGCGTAGCCTATTTTCTTGTTTGCACGGCATTGTGAGTTTGAAATAAGTATGTCGCTTTTTATGTTTATTCATCTGATATAAACAGTCAGATAACTGTTCATGGCAATCTAATGTGAACATGTACATGTAGTGGAGCAGCTGAGATGAAATTTCTAGAACAATTGTTCGTTTTGTGATAAAAGCACCAAATTTGGCAGATGTAGATTTATGTGTCCTGAAAAGATTTAGATATCGGGCCATCACAGATTTGGCTCATGGAGGGCGTGGCCATCGTACAAAATAAAGGTAGAACAAAATAAATAAACGTTTAATAAAATGAACACTTCCAGGAAGGAGCAGCATTACCCTTGATGCACATGACTGAAATGAGCATTACATTATCTGGCAACAGCTCTGGTGGACATTCCTGCAAAAGTTGATTTATCGGTGGCATTGTGTAACAAAACTGCACATTTTAGAGTGGCCTTTTATTGTCCCCAGCACAAGGTGCACCCATGTTGTGATCATGCTGTTTAATCAGCTTCTTGATATGCCACACCTGTAAAGTGGATGGATTATCTTGGGAAAGGAGAAATGCTCACTAACAGGGATGTAAACAAATGTGTGCACAACATTTGAGAGAAATAAGCTTTTTGTGCGTATGGAAAATGTTTTATTTCAGCTCATGAAACTTGACACCAACACTTTACGTTTATATTGTTGTTCAGTGTAATTTAATAAACAATTAAACAATGGACAAATTAATACCAGCATCGTTTTTTGAATGTACTGTCATTATATGCAAACATAGTTTGGAAACATGCACTAGTGGCCAGGGAGGAATCTCTTTGTTTGAATGATGGCCCATGTCAACTCTGGCTGACAATACAATACTTTGTCCTTTACTTACAGTGAACAACAGAAATGTGTCTTCTTCTCCATTCTCAACCCCCCAAACATAGAGTTGAGACGAGCACAGGTTAAAGCTGCATGCAACGCCCCTGGATGGAGAGCATGTTGTGGGGTTAAGGGCCTAAGGGTAGAGGAATATTTTGAGGATGTGAACCCAGCAGCCCTCAGATCAATTCCGCCAATGTTTTTTCCAGTGCCCGGCCCGGGATTCAAACCGTACCCCTTTCAGCCACAGGTCCAATGCCTTAGCCGCTGGACTACCTGCTTGACTGGTTCCAGAGAAGAAGAAAAAATGAGCAGAAATAAGCATGCTATGCAGACATTGGTTAATTTACATATATAAATAGAACACACATATATATATATATTTTTTTTTGTATATGTTCTATTTATATCTGTAAATTAACCAATGATATCAAGCCACACCCGGCCATGATTACAGACACCTGTGTGTCCTTTGAAACTATATAAACTAGTGACATTATACCCTGTTTGTCATTATACCCTGATGAAGACAGCTTGTCTGTCGAAACGTCAGTTACTAGGTTATTAAATTATTGCATCTGAGCTCCTAGAGTGTGCGGCTCTCCTTTTCTTTTTCAAAAGTATGTAGACACCTGCTCGTCAACATCTCATTCCAAAATCATGGGCATTAATATGGAGTTGGTCCCCACTTTGCTGCTATAACAGCCTCCACTCCTCTGGGAAGACTTTCCACTAGACGTTGGAACATTGCTGCAGGGATTTGCTTCCATTCATCCACAAGAGTATTAGTGAGGTTGGGCACTGATGTTGGGCGATTAGGCCTGGCTCACAGTCGGCGTTCCAATTCATCCCAAAGGTGTTCAACGGGGTTGAGGTCAGGGCTCTGTGCAGGCCAGTCAAGTTCTTCCACGCCGATCTCGACAAACCATTTCGATATGGACCTCGCTTTTTGCACAGGGGCATTGTCATGCTGAAACAGGAAAGGGCCTTCCCCAAACTGTTGCTACAAAGTTGGAAGCACAGAATTGTCAAGAATGTAATTGTGTGCCTTAGCATTAAGATTTCCCTTCACTGGAACTAATGGGCCTAGCCCGAACCATGAAAAACAGCCCCAGACCATTATTCCTCCTCCACCAAACTTTACAGTTGGCACTATGCATTCGGGCAGGTAGTGTTCTCCTGGCATCCACCAAACCCAGATTCGTCGTCGGGAGCTTAATGAAATGGGTTTCCACTGCTCCAAAGTCCAATGGCGATGAGCTTTACACCACTCCAGCCGACGCTTGGCATTGCGCATGGTGATCTTAGGCTTGTGTGCGGCTGCTCGGCCATGGAAACCCATTTCATTAAGCTCCCGACGAACAGTTCTTGTGCTGACGTTGCTTCCGGAGGCAGTTTGGAACTCGGTAGGGAGTGTTGCAACCGAGGACAGACGATTTTTACGCGCTACGCGCTTCACCACTTCGAGGCTGAGCCGTTGTTGCTCCTAGACGTTTCCACTTCACAATAACAGCACTTACAGTTGACCGGGGCAGCTCTAGCAGGGCAGAAATTTGACGAATTAATATTTTCTGAAGGCACTGTAAATGTCTATGGAAAACTAATTATAAGGGGATGTTAGCTGTCATTTCAGAGTTTGATGTGCCTGGGTTAGCTTTTGTTAGCTGTTGATTTCTAAAATCCCCATTACATTTTGGGGTAGGGATAGAACCCTCAAGGTTATTTGCCTTCACTGGGGTATTGTATTAATGGCATCTGTTTGAACTTGTTATCAGTATAAAAGACACCTGTCCACAACCTCAAACAGTCACACTCCAAACTCCACTATGGCCAAAACCAAAGAGCTAACAAAGGACACCATAAACAAAATTGTAGACCTGCACCAGGCTGGGAAGACTGAATCTGCAATAGGTAAGCAGCTTGGTTTGAAGAAATCAACTGTGGGAGCAATTATTAGGAAATGGAAGACATACAAGACCACTGATAATCTCCCTCGATCTGGGGCTCCACGCAAGATCTCACCCCGTAGGGTCAAAATGATCACAAGAACGGTGAGCAAAAATCCCAGAACCACACGGGGGGACCTAGTGAATGACCTGCAGAGAGCTGGGACCAAAGTAACAAAGCCTACCATCAGTAACACACTACGCCGCCAGGGACTCAAATCCTGCAGTGCAAGACGTGTCCGCCTGCTTAAGCCAGTAAATGTCCAGGCCTGTCTGAAGTTTGCTAGAGTGCATTTGGATGATCCAGAAGAGGATTGGGAGAATGTCATATGGTCAGATGAAACCAAAATAGAACTTTTTGGTAAAAACTCAACTCGTCGTGTTTGGAGGACAAAGAATGCTGAGTTGCATCCAAAGAACACCATACCTACTGTGAAGCATGGGGGTGGAAACATCATGCTTTGGGGCTGTTTTTCTGCAAAGGGACCAGGACGACTGATCCGTGTAAAGGAACGAATGAATGGGGCCATGTATCGTGAGATTTTGAGTGAAAACCTCCTTCCATCAGCAAGGGCATTGAAGATGAAACGTGGCTGGGTCTTTCAGCATGACAATGATCCCAAACACACCGCCCGGGCAATGAAGGAGTGGCTTCGTAAGAAGCATTTCAAGGTCCTGGAGTGGCCTAGCCAGTCTCCTGATCTCAACCCCATAGAAAATCTTTGGAGGGAGTTGAAAGTCTGTGTTGCCCAGCGACAGCCCCAAAACATCACTGCTCTAGAGGAGATCTGCATGGAGGAATGGGCCAAAATACCAGCAACAGTGTGTGAAAACCTTGTGAATTTACAGAAACTTTGATGTGCCTGCAACAAAGGTTAGTATGAAACTTTTGTATGCTGTTATTTTCCCTAATTGCATTTCTAAAATCCTACATTACATTTTTTGGGTAAGGACCTAGAAACAGCCCTATTTGCCTCACTGGGGTATAAACAGTAGATACATAGAAACCTTTTTTTATTAAGGGTTCTTTAATCTCCAAAAACCAAAAGGTTATATTTAGAACCCCAAAGAAAGTGTGGTCACTTTTACCTCTACCTACATGTAGCCTACACATTACCTCAACTAGGCTACCTCGTACCCCTACACATTGACTCGGTACAGGTACTCCGTGTATATAGTCTCGTTATTGTTCTTTTATTGTGTTACTATTTCCTTTTTTATTTAGCAAATTTTTCTTACTTTTTAACTCTGCATTGTTGGGAAAGGGCTCCTAAGTACATTTCACGGTAAAGTCTACACCTGTTGTATTCGGCGCATGTGAAAAACAATTTGTATTAGATGTTTTATATTTATCCACAATTATAAGTTACATTTATTTGACAAAAAACGCAGCATTGTTAGGACTTCAAGGATCGGCACGTTCCTTTATAGTCTTGCAGTGTCAGCATTTAGATCATTGTCAATCTTTGGTGAGCCTCCAAAATGTGCCAAGAGCAAGTCAGCCAAAGATCAGCACACCAAATGATTCAACAGCGAAACTGTTGAATCACTTGCAATATGGGTCAAAGTTGAACTCTTGCGAGACGCACGGTTTTGCGTAACTATCACTGAAAGAACAAGATGCTCAGTTGAATGATTAACTCACCCAACTACGTATTTTCTTAGGATTAATGATTCACTGATGACTGTCAAAGAGTTTTCCAAGAGATGAACATAAAGTATTATAAGTTCATGCAAATAACTTTGAGGAAGGGCCACCTTTGGCCATCCATTCCCCCAAAACATCCCCAAAGTATAAAAAGACAGACTTCTCCTAACTGGATACAATTCAAGAACAGCCCATCAGGGAACAACAAGCATCACCACCTCATCAAGACTAAGCTGATGAGGCCAAGATAACTCCTTCTTTACAACAAAGAAGAAAAGGTAACGCAATATTACACATATTTTTTGTAGGATTTAATTATCCTGTTTCCATGCATTTCATTTGTGAAGTGATGTGGTGCAAGGAGATGGTGTCCTCTTATATTGCTACAAAATAATTATATTCGTTTTAGAGGAATATTATATGAAAATGCAAACATATATGTACAATAAATCATCCAGTTATAGAATTGTATATATTTGTTTAATTCATATTATGCAGTCTCTATTCAGGACCATGGCTTCATAATGTACATTGTTCTCTGAATACATGAGGAAATTAAAAATCATACTTCATTGTAACAACATTATAGAATTGTGATCCTACCATTGAACAGATAAAAATGAATCTCGGACAATACGTTTTCTGACAAACACACAATACCAGTCTTTTTGTAGTGTGTGGCTTATTCGGCAACTGTACTAACCAGAAAGTTCAAACTGTCTATTTCTTTAACTCATATACCTAGCCAACATATCCCTTTTCTATCCTTCCAACTCTCGTCTAGTTCTCCAGTGACATCCACTTCCAGCCAACAGAACCAACCATGCCTCCTCAGCTGCAGTCCCAGAACAAGGCAGGCGTCCAGGTTGTCCAGGGGGACCTGGGGGCCCTGAGCCCGGCCGTCAGGGAGTTTGTGGAGACTAACATCAACCTGTGTCAGCCCGAATCACTGCACATCTGTGATGGCTCTGAAGAGGAGAACCACACAATCCTGGCCCAACTGCAGGAGCAGGGCATGATCAAGAAACTGACCAAATATGAGAACTGGTAAGTCACCTCACCATTCAGTTTCAGTGGATGGATGTCGTGTTGAGTTGGGGACCCTGAGATATTTGAATGTTTCTGATAACTGTTGTTGTGTAGTGTGCTGGTCTGAGCATGATGAAGAGGCAGACGAAGTTTAAGACCTGTTATAATATTTAAGGGATGTTGCAAATGTTGCTCTAGTATTATAATGGCATATGACCAAATATAAACAAGGATATGTATTCTAATAACTTATGGGCTAAGCACTCCACATATAGTTATAGCTACAGCCTCCATTTCAAACTTGAAAAAACAATGTGACAATGGTGAGAGGTGGCCATATTATGAGTCTTGATCCAATAGTCTTTTTTTTTTTCCTTCAGCTGGCTGGCCCGGACAGACCCCAGAGACGTGGCTCGCGTGGAGAGCAAGACGGTCATTGTGACCAAGGAGCAGAAGGACACGGTTCCGTCTCCAAGAGTAGGTAGCATCAGCCAGCTTGGGCGCTGGATGTCTCAGGAGGAGTTGGACAAGGCTATGGACCTGCGCTTCCCAGGCTGCATGAAAGGTACAGTGGAAAATCAACTGGGATGTTTTGCTCTACTACTGGTACATAGCATTATCTTCTCTTGTATTTACATGTTAATGGTGTTTACCGATTATAGTATTGGGAGCATATTTATGTGATGACTATCTTTAGTTATTTTTACACAATGCTTTACCAGAAGGACATACACTAACTGCACCATCACCGTGAGTCCTAAAATCACTTCTGTTCACTCCTCTTTATTTTAGGTCGTACTATGTACGTGATCCCCTACAGCATGGGGCCTGTGGGCTCCCCCCTGTCTAAGATCGGAGTGGAGCTAACCGACTCTCCTTACGTGGTGGCCAGTATGAGGGTGATGACCCGCATGGGCAAGGCTGTGCTGACCACATTGGGAAACGGAGAGTTTGTGCGCTGCCTTCACTCTGTGGGCTGCCCCCTGCCACTCAAAAGTAAGTCAGGCACAATGGTATGCTTTCAACCTGTTTGGAAAACTCTGAAAACGAAGAAACTAGTTTTTCTGTTCAATGCTGGTTATATTTAAACGTAAAATTAATGTAAGAAAAAGTTATACAATTATGCCAAAATAAAGTGAATACCGTTATCCATTCAAATCTAAGATCTACCTAAAAGAGTCTCTCTCTCTCTCTCTCTCTCTCTCTCTCAGAGCCCCTGGTCAATAACTGGCCATGCAACCCGGAGCTCACCCTGATCGCCCACATTCCTGACCATAGAACGATTGTGTCCTTTGGCAGTGGCTACGGAGGGAACTCCCTGCTGGGAAAGAAATGCTTTGCACTCCGCATTGCCTCCCGCATCGCCATGGAGGAGGGCTGGCTGGCCGAACACATGCTGGTAAGGGCAGAGTAACAATAAACATAAACCAATAGGTGGACAGTGTACTGGGAGAACAGCTGAGGTGCACAAGTACAGTATGGTTTCACTTGATTGTTTTAATTTCACATAGCAAAAAAATCTATAATTTGTCAGTTACTTCTGGAATGGAAATATCAAATGCACTATTCTTTGTTGTTGTTCAGATCCTGGGCATTACCAACCATGCTGGTCAGAAGAAGTACATTGCAGCTGCCTTCCCCAGTGCCTGTGGCAAAACCAACCTGGCCATGCTCAGTCCCACACTCCCCGGCTGGAAGGTGGAGTGTGTCGGGGACGACATTGCCTGGATGAAGTTCGACGACGAAGGCAACCTGAGAGCCATTAACCCAGAGAACGGCTTTTTTGGCGTGGCACCTGGAACCTCAGCAAAGACCAACCCCAACGCCATGGAAACCATTTGCAAGAACACCGTCTTCACCAATGTGGCCGAGACAAGCGATGGTGGTGTCTACTGGGAGGGCATGGACCAGAAACTCCCTGAGGGAGTCACGGTGACCTCCTGGAAGAACAACCCCTGGACACCTCAGGATGGTAAGTTACCACAAGGCTGGCTGGTCCCCACATGGCTGGTTCTTCATAAAACACACTTCTTGAAACACACTTCCCTTGATTTGCATCCTGATGTTTTTTCCGCTCTTGTTTCGTCTTCCCATAGGTGAGCCCTGCGCACATCCCAACTCCCGCTTCTGCACTCCAGCTAGTCAGTGTCCCATCATTGACCCCCAGTGGGAGTCCCCTGAGGGCGTCATAATTGAGGCAATCATTTTTGGGGGACGCAGACCTGAAGGTGTCCCCCTGGTTTACGAGGCCTTTAGCTGGCAACACGGCGTGTTTGTCGGAGCTGCCATGAGATCAGAAGCCACAGCTGCCGCAGAGCACCAAGGTAAGTCAAACTCCCTAGTGTAACCTGCTGCATTGATTACTAAAGCAACTTTTAGAAACCTATGACAAGACAGCGGAAATGACATGGAGCTGAATTGAAGAATGATATTTACCAAACTCTTCTTCTTCCGATCTGCTAGGCAAGGTGATCATGAATGATCCCTTCGCCATGCGGCCCTTCTTCGGCTACAACTTCGGCCGCTACCTGTCCCACTGGCTGAGCATGGCCGGGCGGCCCAACGCCAAGCTGCCCAAGATCTTTCACGTCAACTGGTTCCGCAAGAGCCAGTCCGGCAGCTTCCTGTGGCCCGGCTTCGGGGACAACATCCGCGTGCTGGAGTGGATGTTCCGCAGGCTGGATGGAGAAGCTGGAGCCATGCCCTCCGCCGTGGGCTACCTGCCCTGCCAGGGCTCCCTGAACCTGGAGGGCCTGGGAGAGAACCAGGTGAACCTGGAGGAGCTGTTTGGTCTGTCTAAGGACTTCTGGCAAAAGGAGGTGGAGGATATCAGGGCCTACTTTGACATCCAGGTCAACGACGATCTTCCCAACGAGGTGACCAAGCAGCTAGAGTGTCTTGAGCACAGGGTGAGGCAGATGTAGGGAGAGGTAGAGGGAGATAAAGAGAAATGTGGCACTTCTGAGCCCAAAGACCTTAGACCTCCACAGACTAGAGATTAGTGATCATTCTAGAATATTTAACTGAGCTAGTTAACTATTTTCAAAAGACACTTCAGAAATCTGTTGTGGAGAGAACTTTAATTTTCCTCAGTTGTTTTCTAATTATGGTGTAAAATAGAAATCCTCCTCTGTCATATTAGCATCTTTACCTAGTGAAAATAGAGGCGAATTACACTTGAATAAAATAAGCAATGAATTTAAGAATATCTGGGAACAGTCTCTCGGTTTTCAAAGCATATAATGAAGTCCAAACAACTGATGTTTGTGTTATTTAACAATAACTTATTAACGCACAATATCCAAAGCCATATGTTTATATGGTAATTCCATGTTGGTGCAGCTGGTTACAGGTGAACATTGCTGTACCATGGATCCAACCATCTACATGTATTCACCCCTACACATCACAAATGTGTGTAGGGCTTCACTGTGTCTGTTTTGTTATGTCCTAATTTATTTTTGTACTTTATTGTATTGCCTTGTTGTTTCTTTGTTGTAATCTGAAATCTCAAAAGGAAGACAACAATAAACTTTATTTAAACTTTAAACTCACTCATGATTCTTCTGGGTTTTACATGTGGGATTACTTATGATAGAAGTGGTTGAAGTGTGACTGTCTTGCCTCATTTATACAGTGGGATTCTATGCATGGTCATGATCACTACAAACACATGTACTGAAACAAAAACCTCACATACAAATCCCAAAACAATGAACCATGACCCAAAATCTCATTCTAATTTACAAGATAGTAAATTAGAAGTTGATACTGGGTGCAGAGCCATGGTCGAGTGGTAATACTGCCGCCTCTATACACGGAGACCGGGGAGCAATCATTGTGTGCTGCCTTTTGAGTATTTCTCCCCTTCATATCTGCCACTGTTTCTCATCTTTCTATCAATAAAGCATACAACATATGAAAGGAGAGTCACTCTCCTTTAAAAATGGACAGGTGTGTTACAAAAGACTGGATCGAATTCTGGTCCCAGTCCATCCTTTTGTGGTAGCATTGCTAAGATAAACAATACTAAATCATTTCATGGTCACCAGCCAGGCCTAGATAAATGGGAAAATAACATCTCTGACACCTGTGAGTGGGAGTGAAAGTGAATGCTCTGCATAATCATTAAGGGCACTGTACTGTCCTCCGTATGCGTTACTGTGCATATTTTGACAGCAAGATAAACGCCTCCACATCAATAACCCTCAAAGCATGATCTCCATGTACACAAGATTTATTGAGTTGAAACAGCGTGAAACTGAAACAGAAAGACAACAATGTCTGTATAAGACAATGTCATCTGTCCTAAAATACGAACTAGATATGAACGTAACCTGATATTTTGCTCACACTGACAACTAGCAAAAGCTGAGCTATAATACTGTAGCGATTAAGCTAGTGCTGTCCATCTATTCCACAAAGTAAACATCCAAATTCCACAAATAATGCTTTGAAACAAAAGATATATGCAAAAGGAATGAAAACACTTACTGACAAAGCTTTCTAAGGCATACAACGTAAAGGATGAATGAAGATTGTGAGCTGACAACTGAAACACAGCACTCTGAGCTCCACATGAGGCAACAATGACCAACTTTCTCCTAACAAGTCACATGACAAGTCATGTTCTAGCTAAAGGAAATTACTCCAGATCAACAATATGGGGAGCCAAATTCAAGGTAAGTATTACAACTAAAACAGAACAGGCACATTTTTTATTTGTATTTACCAGGTAAGCCAGTTGAGAACAAGTTCTCATTTACAACTGCGACCTGGCCAAGATAAAGCAAAGCAGTGCGATAAAAATAACAACAACACAGAGTTACATATGGCCCTGTGTAGCTCAGTTGGTAGAGCATGGCGCTTGCAACGCCAGGGTTGTGGGTTTGATTCCCACGGGGGGCCAGTATGAAAATAAAAAATTAATACAATTGTATGCACTCACTAACTGTAAGTCGCTCTGGATAAGAGGGTCTGTAAAATGAATAAACAAAACGTACAGTCAATAACACAATAGAACATCTATATACAGTGTGTGCAAATGTAGTAAGTTATGGAGGTAAGGCAATAAATAGGCCATAGTGCAAAATAATTACAATTTAGTATTAACACTGGAGTGATAGATGTGCAGAAGACATTTGTGCAAATAGAGATACTGGGGTGCAAATGAGCAAAATAAATAACAATATGAGGTAGTTGGGTGGGCTAATTACAGATGGGCTGTGTACAGGTGCAGTGATCGGTAAGCTGCTCTGACAACTGATACTTAAAGTTAGTGAGGGAGATAAGTGTCTCCAGCTTCAGAGATTTTTGCAGTTCGTTCCAGTCATTTGCAGCAGAGAACTGGAAGGAATGGCAGCCAAAGGAGGTGTTGGCTTTGGGGATGACCAGTGAGATATACCTGCTGGAACGCATACTACAGGTGGGTGTTGCTATGGTGACCAATGATCTAAGATAAGGCAGGGATTTGCCTAGAAGTGATTTATAGATGACCTGGAGCCAGTGGGTTTGGCGACGAATATGTAGTGAGGGCCAGCCAATGAGAGCGTACAGGTCACAATGGTGGGTAGTATATGGGGCTTTGGTGACAAAACGGATGGCACTGTGTCTCCCGAGTGGCACAGTGGTCTAAGGCACTGCATCGCAGTGCTAGCTGTGCCACTAGAGATCCTTGTTCGAATCCAGTCTCTGTCGTAGCCGGCACTCACTAACTGTAAGTCGCTCTGGATAAGAGCGTCTGCTAAATGACTAAAATGTAAATGTGAAAAAAAATGTGATAGACTACATCCAATTTGCTGAGTAGAGTGTTGGAAGCTATTTTGTAAATGACATCGTCGAAGTCAAGGTTCAGTAGGATAGTCCGTTTTACGAGGGCATGTTTAGCAGCATGAGTGAAGGAGGCTTTGTTGCGAAATAGGAAGCCGATTCTAGATTTAACTTTGGATTGGAGATGCTTAATGTGAGTCTGGAAGGAGAGTTTACGGTCTAACCAGACACCTAGGTATTTGTAGTTGTCCACATATTCTAAGTCAGATCCGCCGAGAGTAGTGATTATAGTCGGGCGGGCGGGTGCAAGCAGCGTTCGATTGAAGAGCATGCTGGTGCGAATAATCGCACCAACTGTTGTCACCTTCTCACCAAGCTGCTTGGCGATGGTCTTGTAGCCCATTCAAGCCTTGTGTAGGTCTACAATCTTGTCCCTGACATCCTTGGAGAGCTCTTTGGTCTTGGCCATGGTGGAGAGTTTGGAATCTGATTGATTGATTGCTTCTGTGGACAGGTGTCTTTTATACAGGTAACAAGCTGAAATTAGGAGCACTCCCTTTAAGAGTGTGCTCCTAATCTCAGCTCGTTACCTGTATAAAAGACACCTGGGAGCCAGAAATCTTTCTGATTGAGAGGGGGTCAAATACTTATTTCCCTCATTAAAATGCAAATCAATTTATAACATTTTTGACATGCGTTTTTCTGGATTTTTTTGTTGTTATTCTGTCTCTCACTGTTCAAATAAACCTACCATTAAAATTATAGACTGATCATGTCTTTGTCAGTGGGCAAACGTACAAAATCAGCAGGGGATCAAATACTTTTTTCCCTCACTGTATACAAAATGGTATTGTCTGCGTAGAGGTGGATCTGAGAGTCACATCATTGATATACATAGAGAATAGAGTCGGCCCGAGAATTGAACCCTGTGGCACCCCCATAGAGACTGCCAGAGGTCCAGACAACAGGCCCTCCAATTTGACACATTGAACTCTATCTGAGAAGTAGTTGGTGAACCAGGCGAGGCAGTCATTTGAGAAACCAAGGCTATTTAGTCTGCCAATAAGAATGCGGTGATTGACAGAGTCAAAAGCCTTGGCCAGGTTGATGAAGACGGCTGCACAGTACTGTCTTTTATCAATCGCGGTTATTATATCGTTTAGGACCTTGAGCGTGGCTGAGGTGCACCCATGACCAGCTCGGAAACCAGATTGTATAGCGGAGAAGGTACGGTGGGATTCGAAATGGTCGGTGATCTGTTTGTTAACTTGGCTTTCAAATACTTTCGAAAGGCAGGGCAGGATGGATATAGGTCTGTAACAGTTTGGATCTAGAGTGTCACCCCCTTTGAAGAGGGGGATGACCGCGGCAGCTTTCCAATCTCTGGGGATCTCAGACGATACGAAAGAGAGGTTGAACAGGCTAGTAATAGGGGTTGCGACAATTTCGGTGGCTAATTTTAGAAAGAAAGGGTCAGCCCAGCTGATTTGTAGGGGTCCAGATTTAGCAGCTCTTTCAGGACATCAGCTATCTGAATTTGGGTGAAGGAGAAGCGGGGGGGGGGGGGGGGCATGGGCAAGTTGCAGCGGAGGGTGCAGAGCTGGTGGACGGGGTAGGGGTAGCCAGGTGGAAAGCATGGCCAGCCGTAACAAAATGCTTATTGAAATAGATTTATCGGTGGTGACAGTGTTTCCTAGCCTCAGTACAGTGGGTAGCTGGGAGGAGTTGCTCTTATTCTCCATGGACTTTACAGTGTCCCAAAGCTTTTTGGAGTTAGTGCTACAGGATGCACATTTCTGTTTGAAAAAGCTAGCCTTTGCTTTCCTAACTGCTTGTGTATTGGTTCCTGACTTCCCTGAAAAGTTGCATATCGCGGGGGCTGTTTGATGCTAATGCAGTACGCCACAGGATGTTTTTGTGCTGGTCAAGGGCAGTCAAGTCTGGGGTGAACCAGGGGCTATATCTGTTCTTAGTTCTGAATTTTTTGACTGGGGCATGCTTATTTAAAATGGAGAGGAAAGCACTTTTGAAGAACATCCAGGAATGAGGTCAATATCCATCCAGGATACCCGGGCCAGGTCAATTAGAAAGGCCTGCTCGCTGAAGTGTTTTAGGGAGCGTTTGACAGTGATGAGGGGTGATCGTTTGACCGCGGACCCATTATGGACGCAGGCAATGAGGCAGTGATCGCTGAGATCCTGGTTGAAGACAGCGGAGGTGTATTTAGAGGGTAAATTAGTCAGGATGATATCTATGAGGGTGCCCATGTTTATGGATTTAGGGTTGTACCTAGTAGGTTCCTTGATGATTTGTGTGAGATTGAGGGCATCTAGTTTAGATTGTAGGACGGCCGGGGTGTTAAGCATATCCCAGTTTAGGTCACCAAGCAGTACGAACTCTGAGGATAGATGGGGGACAAGCAATTCACATATTGTGTCCAGGGCACAACTGGGGGCTGAGGGGGGTCTGTAGCAAGCGGCAACAGTGAGAGACGTATTTCTGGAAAGGTGGATTTTTAGAAGTAGAAGCTCAAACTGTTTGGGCACAGACCTGGATAGTATGATAGACCTGGATAGTATGATAGACCTGGGTAGTATGATAGAGCCCTTTGGCAGTTTTATCTAGACAGAAAATGTTGTAGTTCGTAATGGAAATTTCTGAATTTTTGGTGGCCTTCCTAAGCCAAGATTCAGACACTGCTAGAACATTAGGGTTGGCAGAGTGTGCTAACGCAGTAAATAACTCAAACTTGGGGAGGAGACTTCTGATGTTAACATGCAA